GGCCCAAACAGACCCCTCTTTTCGAAACAATCTCTTGGGGTACATTTTGTGTGCCTCGGCCTGGCGGAGAATTTTCCTTGAATTGGGACACTGCACCCTAACGTCTTGGGAATCTTGCAGCAGCGTTTTAACTTGTTCTTTATTCTTCCCTCGGTTTTCTAAGGGAACCAATCAGCACTCGCTAAATTGCATGCATAATAAATTTTGATGACCTCAACAATACACCATGGTATGGTCACACGCATATGCATCATGGCTGTCTGCAGTCCCATCAACACAGACACGACAACACAGACGTTCGTACAGAGTTAGCACGGAGTAGAACGGGTGATGCTCAGACAAGGTTAGGTCTAGGATATGACAGAAGATGCTGTTCTTGGTGACCCATAATCATGTACAGTCAGTATGCCCTCCCCAGCTAACTAAAGCGTCCTTAGAGACCATGTAGACCTTAACCTTCGAGGACGGAGTACCCGGATGTCGTTTTCTTGCTGCGCGTGTAGGTTTATCCGCCGCTTGTGTTAGTAATTTGGTCCCAGGCAGCATGCGCATTGTAAGTTGCAAAAAACGAGAACGTATTTATTGTGTGATATCAGACAACGATTTTGCTTTCCCAATTGTTCTGCCACAAACATTGCAAACTTGATGCGATGCAGCACAACTGTAGTCCCCAACGATATCTTTTAGAAGAGTGACAATTTCATGTCTAGTATGGAGTGGAAAATATGTCTTACATGTCACTAACCCCTTCCCACAAACCAGACACTATCGACATCGTACTTGCTCGCGTGAAGCCGCCATGTTGTTCGAACTTCGAAGTACATATACATGTACGTAATTATAATACCAAGGCTATAAATATTTAAGAAGATCGGACATTTGCATACAACTGCCACACCCCCATTCCTGCAAGATTCCCAAGACGTTTGTGAGAGTAAGTAAAATCTAGGTGTGCGAGGGCGCTCTTCAACAGAATTCGACAACTGTCGATCACTGACGTCTTGGGCCAAGACTATACCCGAGATTCAGCCCGCGATTCATCCTGCGATACGGGTTCACATCGATAATAAAAATCCATGCAGTAAAGGGAGGCAGTAATTTTTCTACTTTGCGGTACTCTGTTCCACGATAAACTGGACGAATTTTTGAATTTCTCTCACAAATAGCATTTTTTCATGATGGATTGAAAAAGAAATAACATCCATTGAAGGGAAAGGTTGTATAATCAATCTGTTTTCATCGTTTATAGGTCAGTTTCATTTCTGTTATTTGGGAGACATGCTCTAGGTCATTTCCAATCTGGGATATTTAATAGAGACTATTCCATTGTTGTGACTTGATTTGAGGAAAGGTTTACAAAAAAAGGTAAATAACTCGTTATGTTTTATTTCATTCTTCCAATTGCTTCAGCCCCTGACCCTAATTATTTTTAGCAAGCCTAGGGCAGCATATAATGGCTATTTCAGTGTCAAAACGCTTCTAAAAGATGAAACGATTTCAGCATGCGCATTTTAGGCAATTTATAATTGCATATTACTTCAGACAAAAATGTACGCTACATGTTAAGAAATATATTCATTTTCTTTGCATAACTCAAGTTGGCAGACGCCTAGGCACACTTAATTTCAGTTATGGCTATATGGAATGCCTATTTCTGTGTCAAAACGCCTCTCGAAGATATCCCGTTTTTAGGATACAAGAATGCTGCAACTCTTCTGTAATGAACTGTCCCTCTCTGTCTGTTACCGACAAGTGTTGTTCGAAATACTCCTGAAAATCACAACAGATGTCACTCCTAACTTATATTAGAAATAAATGTCGGCAGGAATTGCCTAAATAAAACCCCAGTGGTTTGCCGTCTCCGCTCAGAAGCAACCCACCAGGGTCCGTCTGTTCAAAGTGGGCATTACAAAGCCAGTCCGATTGAAACATTAACTGAAGCAGAAAAACGCAGTTTGACGGTTTAAGCTGAAACAAATTGATTACAATTATCCTTTAATTAAAGGAGACACCTACGTCAATTTTAGACACAATTCAGACGTTGTGACCAAATTGTCTCAGATCAAGTTGTAGTAAAATGAGC